CTAATCTCTCCGGATAACATGTCTAAAGTACAGGAGACAAAGTCTCACCATCCTTGCCTCTAGGGCAGTGGTTCTCAACCTTCCTAAAGCGCCGACCCTTTAATACAGTTCCTTAGGTTGTGGTGACCCCAACCATAAAATTATTTTCATTGCTACGTCATCACTGTAGTTTTGCTACTGTTATGAATCATCATGTAAATATCTGATAGGCAGGATGTATGTTCATTGTTACAAATTGAACATAATTAAAGCATAGTGATGAATCACAAAAACAATATGTAATTATATATCGTGAAATATTTATTTCTAATTACAAATAAATGAAATTTTGTCTTGAAGCATGGGGTAACATGGGTAGCAGTCTTAATATAACGACAGTAGACTACATTGTTACATTTTGCGATAGTATGCAAAAAAAGTCAGCTTCAGTGTGAACGTCGAGATAGCTGCTTACCCACCAGATCAGCGTGTCTGCATGTGGGCGGACCGGCCTGGAGACGGATAGAGGAGCAGTGTCTCAGTTCCTAAGACCATCAGAAATAAGTGTTTTCCAATGGTCTTAGGAGCACTCCGGCTGTCTTTCTTCCAAGACAGATCTGTTTGTTCTTTCGGCAGTCCCTGGTGCTTTCGACATTCTGGGTCAGCACCCTGATTCAAATGCATCGATTACAGTCTAGGAAGCCTTATCGGACAGTTCTCTCTCTCCCGTGCAGTCTGAGGACTAGGGATTGTGTCAACAGCCCCCAACAACAGAGACTATGCACGCAAGGGGCTGTGTCTAGAGTTCCTGAGGAGTACAGACAGTTAACCCACGCATGAGCAGTTCAAGTCCACCCAGAGACCCTCAGAAGAAAGGCCTGGCGATCTGCTTCAGAAAAACCAGGCCCTGAACCCCCTGTGGGGCAGAGGCCTCCTCTGTTACCCACCTGAGTAGTGAGGAATCCACTCAATAGAAAGGTGTGTTGTCTGCGCACAGCATGGGTGCTCAGCAAACACTTGTTACGTGAATTGAATTCATTGGCAGGTTCATAACAACATCCTAGGCCAGTCTAGAGATGAGAAGGCCTAACTCGGGCAGCCCAGGGACCACACCAAGATGTCTGTGAGTGTACAGAGGAAGGGGGCTGGGGGCCAGGCCTCAAGAGGGCAGCGGGATCTCCATCCAGCCAGATTTCCCTGCTGCTCTCTGCAGTCTCCTGCCTGGGGGAGAGGCGCAGGTCCCAGGTCCGGAGTGGCTGCCCTGTGCCTGGAATAACCGAGCAACTCACTCTGTGTGAAGCTTGTGACTTCTGAAACCCCTTTCAAGACTTCCCAGGAAGGAAGGGTGTCGTCCACCCCAAGCCTTCCGTAGCCCCTCTGCCCTCTTCATCTGGGTCCCAGATGGGGCTGGGTGACAGGTCACACTCCCCGCTGTGGCCTGCAAGCCGAGAACCACTTTGGGAACAGAGTGTTCCCCGCCCCCACCCCACCCCTTGTTCTTTAAGCACATGAATTATGTACCCAGGGCTGGCAGCACAGCCCACTGAAGCTTGTCCCTGGCACCTCAACCTTCTCCTGGTGTCCTGTGGAAAGGCATGTCCCCTGCTGCGGCCACATGGGCCACATGACCCAGAACACAGATTCTAGAGGCAGACATGCACCCCGCCTCCCCATTTCCCACCAGTGGTGCATTCTGGGGACAAGTGACTCCCTGCTGTTGGCTGCCCCACCTCACTGGGAGGCCCGGCTGTTTAAAGGGCTAGTGTTAACTGCCATGGTCTCACAGAAGCCCCATTCACCAAATGTTGCCTGGTCATTTGCCAAGCCTACGGCCATAGTCAAACCTACTACCCTAGCCATGCCTCTGATCAATTGCAGATTAGACCTTTGTGATACACGGAGTTTACTTTGGCTGGTTTTTCAGAGGCAGATTGCAGCCTTTCCTCCTGGACCATCGCAGCCTGGAAGCTCCTGGGACCCTCGTTCAACCTCACAGCAACACGCTGGGACTCAAACCTACATCTCCCACGTGGAAGGGGAGCATCGCAGCGCTGAACCACATGGCCCTCCTCCTTCTAAGGAACAAGGGGAGATAATATTGATTGTGCAGCTGGTCAGCGTCTCACCCAGACTGTCTCTCATGACGAGACTCTCCCCAGCCCTACCAAGCCCCTGTGCACCGCCAGCCCCCAAAATCATATGCCTATATACATGCACACACACGCATGTGCACACATGCACTCGTGTGCAGTCCCCCAAGAGCATCCAGGGGGACTTACCATTTGCTGGGGGGTGTTGGTGGGGGGTGGTGAGCAGGAAACAGATCTGCTCTCTGTCCAGGGAGCTGGTCTCTCATGGCCACCTGGAAAGTGGCCCAGGAGCAAGCAGCCAGTGCTTCGCTGGAGGGACAGCTGTTGCTGTCAAGATAAAGTCAACTGGAGTGAAGACCCAAAGCCCATCTGTAGGCAACTGGACATCCCCTTACAGAAGGGTCACAGGGAGGAGACGAGCCAATCAGGGTGCAGTGTAGCACCGAAGAAACATACAACTTTCCTCTAGTTCTTTAATGCTTCCTTCCCTCCACTATCATGATCCTAATTCTACCTTACAAATCCGGCTAGACCAGAGGATGTACATGGGTACAGATAAGAGCTGGAAATACAGGGAATCCAGGACAGATAACCCTCAGGACCAATAATGAGTAGGGATACCAGAAGGGGAAGGGGAAGGTAGGGGAGAAAGGGAGAACCAATCACAAGGATCTACATATAACCCCCCTCCCTGGGTGATGGACAACAGAAAAGTGGGTGAAGGGAGACATCAGACAGTGTAAGATATGACAATAATAATTTATAAAATAGTAAGGGCTTGTGAGGGAGGAGGAGCAGGGAGGGAGGGGGAAATGAGGAGCTGATACAAAGGGCTCAAATGGAAAGCAAATGTTTTGAGAATGATGATGGTAACTAATGTACAAATGTGGTTGACACAATGGACATATGTATGGATTATGATAAGAGTTGTACGAGCCTCCAATAAAATGATTTTAAAAAGAAAAAAAAAGTCAACATCCACTACCCAGAGGTACAGAAGTACTTGTGGTCCAGGATGCTCCTTACCCGTGAGTCAATTTAGAGATGGATGACGTGTGCAGCAAGGAGTGTGATGGAGAGGGT